AAATAGCAACTTTTTTACAAAAATTAACTTTTTCAACTTAATTTTTGAAAATGTTCCGGAAATACTGCGTCCTTCAAACATATATCAAATTAAAGCTTATTTTATATACTATAAAATGAAAAAAAAAAATTTGTGCCCGACGACCTATCTTCTATGCGCAAATGGCTACCATATTCAAAAATATGCTATTTTAACAAATTTTTTTTTAAATTAAACACTATCTACAGATTTGCATCGAAGCGTTTTTTATGATAGTGATTTTAATCACTGTCAGATATCATCTATACTGGACCCAACTATGCCACGACCCCACTGTGCCGTCACCCCACTGTGCTACCGTTTTTCAATATTAAATTTTTACTATAAACTTTCACAAAAATTTTTCATCAACTTTAAAGAACCAAAAAAATAGGTTAAAAATGAAAATTTAGACTGATTATTTTTAACATATTAAAAATCCAATCAGTAATAATTTGAAAACAAATTTTTTTTTTGTTAATTATTGTTTTAAGATTATTTTATCATACAATAATACTAGTATTTTTCGTTTATTATTGTTTTAAGATTATTTTAAGCTTATTTTAAAAATTATTTTTAACTTTTTAGTCGATGTCCTTTAAAACCTTGGTTTTTTATTTTTTTAAACTATATTTATTTTTTACTTTTTAGTTCATATGTTATGATAGCGTGTTATTTAGTTTTTTTTAACTATACTTTTTTCACATAAATAGCTCGATATGTATTTTTTTGGTTAAAATATTGTTAAGCACAGGGGCACTAAATATTATATAGCGTACCCGAACCGGTTAAAAACACTTAATACTGATCATACTGTTTTGTGTAATGCCGTATAAATAGAGTCACTGGTGGTGGGAGGGTTCGCCTGCACAAAACCTGTGATCTATGTTGTGAATAAATGTGTAAGTGTGTTTAAAACTCTTCAATTAATTAATGTATATTAAACTTAATATAATATTATACTATGCTATAAAATGTGTTTATGTGCGTGTGTGGTGTGTAACAGCTGATCGACCGGTAGTACAAATAACCACACTATCGATGTAGTGAGAATCATGCGTTGACTGCATGAACCGGTCTGAGTACGTAATTATAGTTAACAACGGTATTGTTGTTAACAAATATTATAGTATGTAATGTAACTATAATCGTTATGAAATCGATCATGTTTTGACGATTCTTATGAGTCATTATTTCTTAGTCGAATCATTTCATCTAATGCTTCACTGTTGCATGGGGTTTTATCTGTCATCTTTGAGCAATCTAGTTCTTCAATTCGAATACCGTCCAATGATCTGCACGGGCTAAGTGCTACATATGCTTGTCCAGCAGCAAACATCCGTGAGCCCAGATAAATGACTGCATGATCAACTGTACAGCCTTGCATCTTATGAACGGTTGATGCCCAACTCAGGATTAGGGATAACATTCGTCTCTCAGTAGTTCCATAGCTATATTTTGCTGGAAATTGTATCGATATTGGCTTAATTACGTGTTCACCATCTGAACCGAAATTAATACGGACTGATGGGATGTCATCTGCATATAATTGATCCCTACGAAAATTTGGCCATATAATTTCTGTAATGAAGCCCATGTTACCATTCACTAAACCCTTTGACACATCAATGTTTGACCTTAATATCACTTTAGTTCCGACGAATATTTTCAATACATTAGGAAAACCTCCTGTTTTATTGATATCATTAGGTATTATAGAGTTTAGGTCTTTATTACCTAAATTTCGTGTAGCATCAATGAGTTGGTCTTGTGCTTTAATTGTATAAATAACAGTCCCTATATCCTCATAACTCTGAAGAACTTTTTCGTTATGTCTAGCAACTTGGTCATTTGTCGGATAAATCCTCAAAGCCCTCTCAATCAAAAATTCTTCAGTAGTATCTGCTGAAACTTTACCAAAAAGAACTTCAAGATGCTTAGACGTTAATTTTCCAACTCTTAGGGTGTTAAGCACATATATGAATGTCGTGTCTCCTTGTTAGTGCATGTTTTGTTTGTGTTCAACCAGGCGGAATTGCCGCCACAAATGTGTAGCAGGTTTCATGTGTTCTGGTTGTTGAAATACTTGATGTCCTCGGACAGGTGGTAACTGCATTAGATCACCAAAGAGTAAAACATTTATGCCTCCAAAACAAGCGGTCGTGCTTTTCAATTGACGCAAACGAGAGTCGATCATGCAAAGCATCTTATAAGGTACCATAGAAATTTCATCTATGAACAGAAACTCAACGTTTTGCCATAATTGGCGCATCCCTATCAAATAATTACCAGTTAGAAGCGGCATGCTAACGATAACTCCATCTTTTTGTACTGTTAGTTTTAGTGTAGCGTAGAGCCATCGACCAATCGTGCTGCAACTCCAGTGAGTGCATCAATTTTCACAACCGATTTTCCATAACATCGGTTAATTTGGTTATTCAAAAGATTAAAGAGATAAGTTTTTCCGGTACCTGCTCCACCAGTTACAAAAATTTTTTCTCTTTTAATATCACCGTTTAGCTGATTTTTGATACTCTCTGTAATGAAGATGAACAATTGTCTTTGATCAATATTCATAGCCTGCTGTGCTCTCTGGAATTGATCATTGCTGATTTCTGTCTCTGGTAATTCTTCTTCTCCAAGTTCAGGACTGATAATCCCTGGCTGTTCTAAAATTTCAAAGGCATGTACTTGATTGAATGCGTTTTCAAGCTGTTGGTCCCTCTCTCGAAATTGGTACATATATCTACTCATTTCCTTCAATCGATCCTCTCGATCTAAGAAGGCCTCTTTTGCATTATTAAAACCTTCGAGTAGTTCAGTTACCGAACGGTAAGGCATATATTGAGTAAGCTGTAGATAAAGTTTTCTGGATCTGAAGTTGCTATAAAGTATGGTACCCTCACAACTGCGGGAACATTCCTCACAACCATTTTGCTCTTATCCAACAAGGTGATAAGTTGGCGACGCGTATTTGGAAGTTCTTCATAAGCATCATGATCAACACTTTCTTCGGTCTCGCTTACCTTTTTCGGATAAAATAGTTCAAACAACATTGCAAACTCTGTGAGGCTCATGTTCGCAAAATCGTATTCAGGATGTTGTAATGGACGTTTATTATATCTTTCAAAGATATTGCTACAATAACCAGTTGCGTGTCCACTTTTGTCGAATTGCAATACTCTGTAACGCTGTTCTGGCTTTCTTGTTTTCAGAAAAATACAGCTTCGCGACCTGTCTCGTAATGGGATATGACAAAGTCAATACGCACATTCTGCAGCCGATACTTGTCGTTCATGAAGAATCTTCATACATATCCTGAACAGTTTGCGTGAAATATCAGTCTCTTCACGTTGAATT